GTTTATTGATTGATTATGATCTATTTCCAAGTACAACAACTGGTATGGATGATAATGATAATGAAATTCTAGTCTACTTGTAGCTACACAAAAACTTTTTTTTTCATTTAGTTGAACGACATCTTCAGGTTATATAMARTTTTAGTTAAAATACAAAGAATTACATTTTTAAGATGTTAATACTACATTTTCTTGTGATTTTAATAAAGTGAAACGGTGAAGCCTTGAAGCAGTCACCAAACCGGTAGTGTAACGAATAAAAAATATATTTCTTTTAATTATTTGCAAAAAACACTACAAAAATTACAATAGCGAAAATTTGGGACATTTCGTATAAGTAATTTTTGTGTATTGAGTAGTCAAAACAAGAAAAATTGTAGAAAAATGACAAAACATTAAATTTCTTAAATATTTTAAAACTTAAATTTATTTATCTACAATAGAAAAAAAAAAACTATAACTTTCTAAGCCAATTTATCAATTGTTGATAAAAAGAAGAAATTTTACAGTATTTGCATGATGAACACATAAATCACACAAATATTAAATAAAAGTTACCTTTTTTAATGTATTATTACAATGTACTCACAAATATAGGGTAATTTAAAAATGTCGGACCAACTCTTGAATGGTGATAGAAGACTTTCAACAAAGCATAAAAGTAAAGTCAGATTTTTGTTTCAAGCTTTTTTTTGAAAAAAAACAGAACTGCTAATTTTTATATAATCATGTAAGAATTTTAGTTTTTTATTTCCGATGTTGTTAGATTTAATTTATTGTTGAATTTTGCTAGTTTGTTAAAAGGATTTTACATCAAAAGACACAAATTGGTGATTTTTTTCAACAGGTACCTGTTCAGTTTTACAGATCTGCCGTTTTCGCTAACTAATTTTAAAAATATATGATCTGAACGGCCAAAAACTTAACTCAAAATCTAATCTTTAAGAGCTATATCTATAAAAAAAGGTCAAACAATTTTTTGTTATGGGAACTTTTAACTCAGTTGGATATCCTTTATCATCACTCAAGAGTCCRACACTTTTAAATCATCCTGCATAAAGCAAAGTGAAAATAAATGATAAAAAAAATAATTGTAGAAACATTGATTATAATAAAGGAACAGTTTTTTTGTTTCTAAAATTTTTTATGGTATTAATACTAGGTACTATAAGTAGGTATTATTTTTTAATTTTCTGGCTTAAAAGCTTTTCATTCACAAAGTTAATTTTTTGATTTTTTACTTTTGGTCTTTGTTTATTTATATTTTTAGTATTTTTATAATTAATTCTAAAATGCACTGACGACTATCATTTCTTAAATTATTTCTGTAAAAATTAGATAGTCTGTCTATATTTGCTTGCATTTGCTTGAATGATGCAGTTGAAACAATTAACGTTTTGGGCCTTTAGCAATAAAAAATWAAAAAAAACTCAATCCTTCAATTATAAAGGTTTGTTTCCTTTGGGATTGCTTCAACAGCTCGCTGGTCGCTTTGATAATAACAGCTTTACAACCACCCTCGTTAAATCCCTCATGTACTAGTTTGGTAAGTCAAAAACCATAAAATTCGTGTAAAAATAGTTGTAAAACTGTTGCGTATTGCTCATAGAGTGAATTGTTTTTAAGCTTTTAGTTCAATTATTTTATCAAAAGATAATAAACTCAAGTACCTACCTATATAGTTTTTCAATTTTTGGTTTAGTTAATGTTTTAGTTTAATGTCACGGCGACCAATAAAAATTAATTAGAAAAACTTGTATAGAATTCACATAAACAACCAAGACTCCTCTCTATTCATTCCTTTCAAAAGCTCGSCTACGTCGTTATTGACAAAATCTCAATCAGCTCAAGGGTTGCGAAGCTATCGCAGTCCTCTCAATGTTTGTGCTCATGCAAAGCACTCGAGCACGTCTCTGAGGGTTGTTAAAGCGAACGTTGCACCGCCACCCGCCCCCAACTCGAGCACCCTCCACATCCCGAACAAACATAATTAATACGCACCTCCGAATAAAAATATTACACCGATAACTTCTTTCAAATCCTCTCAACCGCCAATTACCTCGGAATTCGATAAAAAGCYGCTCGATACAAAAACCGGTAGTYGCGGAAACCCATCGATCAACCCATGCCAGTCCATCAACCATCTCTGATTTACKGCCGTTTTTACAGAAATGCTCCAACAAGGCGACCTTTCGTCGTCCATGGAGTCGCTTTCGTACGACTCGTCGGTGACGTCYCCCGCGTCCAGCAATGGACACCAGCCCCAGAGGACCAAACGCATGCGCACGTCATTTAAACACCACCAGTTGAGGACCATGAAGACGTATTTTGCCATCAACCAAAACCCAGATGCGAAGGACTTGAAGCAGTTGGCGCAGAAAACGGGGCTCTCGAAGAGGGTCCTCCAGGTGTGGTTCCAGAACGCGAGGGCGAAATGGAGGAGGAACATCATGAGACAGGAAGGGGGGCAAAACCAGGGACAGAGTCAAGCCAATGGGCCCTCTTCAGTGGGCTCGGGGATCATGGGGGAGAGTAATAGTTTATCGCACCAGTCGCTCGACGATTTGCACCACCATTTGCACTCGCAGAATTCGCAGACTTTGACGTTCAGTGATATTTATTAGAAGTAGTGACACTGTAGACACTAGTTAGGTACACACACGCAATGTTCCTTTATGATAGTGATAAYTGAATGATTTTATCAGTTGTTTTCAGTTGAGGATTTTGTTAGTGAATAGATTGCACGATGATTTTTGAGGATCTTGTAGATATGTCGTTGTTTGTACATAAGAATATACGTTAGTGATAGGTGAGAGTATTCGAGGAATATTTATAATTTTGTATGGTTGTGCGATGCTGTCATACATGTACGGTGTATGTCTACAAGGAATAAATGTATATAATTTATAATCCGACTATTTTTATTTCCTAGCCTCTAGATTCAATAATTAAAAAAAAATAATAATAATAAAAATAAACAAAAGTACAACAAGTACACAAAAAAGATAAAACAATAGCACATACAGGCTGTGTCAAAATACGCCCCCAGAAAAAAATTTCAAATAAKATAAGATACCAAGAACATGGAAAAAATGTTTCACAAATTTTGACATTTATTTTTTGACATTTTACATTTTTTTATGTTTATTTAATGATACTGATGATATGGTAGGTATATGTTTTTTATAATTATTTAGTAAAAATTTTGCCAAAAAAGCCACAAATAACATGATA